TTCTCGTTTGAACACCTACGAGTGAACTACAAGCATACGTATATCTATGTATTAGAAAATTAGCAGTTGAAAGCCACGCCAATTTATAAGAAAATCCCCACTCGTATGCCAGGCTCAAAACTTTTCAGCGCCTCTCGTCTGTCAGGCTCAAAACTTTTAAGCCCGTACAAGGGCTGACGGAATTTATAAGGAAATTCTCGTCATCTGCTTAGAAGTGAAAAAAACTTAAGTGTCAGTTAACCAGTGAACGTGTATCAACATTTTAATTTTAACGAATTGTCGTAAAAATGTGAGAAATATCTTAAATCCATTTAGATTTTTTATTTCTGTTAATTCAAGGAGCACCTATATCCGCTTTAATTTCTGCTCGAGAATATATATATGTAGATATGTAACTCCTAATCAGCTTCCCTCGTTTAATACTGAAGATCTCGAGTTTGACACAATTTCGAAATACGCGATACGATTCTACGCGGTCGTGCAATCAAGGTACTTCATCCTCTTATTACACTTAACGCGAAAGACGATAAAAGATCGATAAAGTTTCAAGTTCCAAGACAGAATGAAGAAATTTAATCCATTGATTCTATTTCTCGTGATTTTAATGGGACCTATTAGGTCGGTAGACTACTATCGTTCAAGTCTGTCCGAGTCTTTGGATTACAGTCTACAATCTGGGAATTAGGTAGCACTAACTTCCAAGCACGTACCGTTGAATTTAAATTAATCTAACAATTAATCTAACTTTGTGTCCCGCGCCAAATCGATTTAACTACTGTAAACCACCTGTGTACACCTTTGAAACTACCAACTAGTTATTTTTATTATTTCTATTATACGGATTCCTATAGTCCAAACATGAAACAAACAACGATTACATAAAAATCTGAATTTCTCGAAAGGAAAAAATTAGAAAAGCAAACGATCTAATTTAACTTAGTTCATTTGTGAAATCAAATTACCAACCATAAACTAATCGCTTGATTATTCCAAAAAAACACTGTTAAAATAACTTAGATCGACACTTCGTTGTAATCCTATTCTTAACCCTTTCAGTACTATGGATACGTATATGCGTTTATCAATGTTCCCAATCTCCCTAACGCTCTTGAGATTCTTTTCTTTTTTCTTTTCATTTATTCAATCAACATAGTTCACATTAGCAAAGAAAAAAGTATTCCTTAGACAATAATCGCAACCGTTAGACGCGTGCTATTCAACCGAATTGCTTTCAGGAGTTTTCAGCGCTCAAAGGGTTAACTAACAGTAAATGATCCGGAATATCTACAAAGCATGACGAACAACCTCGAAGAAAAGTTAGCAGTTACAAGATATAGGACTAGGAATAATTAACAAGTTCCTTAAAGTTATGTGGTGCGAAACTCGTTAGGGTTGTTTGGAATGATCTTCCAAGAGCAAGCATGTTGGGTGAGCGTAACTCCAAGAGTTCATCGCTATCACCGCACAAAGACCACACACGCCTGCCGTTCCACTCTTCAACCATCTATCTCTCATTCTCCTTCTCGTTGTCCCTGTTGTTCTCGTTGGTGGTCTACGGATGGCCTAGGTAATCGGTTTACGCTAGCCACCAAACGAGGATGTTAACTCGATCAGCAAAGCAGAATAACATCAACTGGATATATAGTACCAACCTAAAAATATAAATCGATTTTTGACGTTTCTTTTATTTGATTTTTACTTCTTACTCTATTTTCATATTCTCTCTCTCTCTCTCTCTCTCTCTATATATATATATATATATATATATATATATATATATTTCTAGGTTTCTATTTCTCTCTCTCTCTCTGTCTCTTCTTCTATCTTTTACTTTTTCCCTCCCCTCCCCTCCCCCCCTACCGGTTTCGTTGGAAGATCGTAAAAGCGAAATTGATTTATAACTCGGTAGAAAATCCTATTAAAATGGCGAGGAATGGAAAATGTAATGCGAAATAAACTCAATCCGTTCGTTGCAGTTCTATATCTTGTTCTTCTTTTTCTTTTTTCTTTTTTCTTTTTTTTTTTTTTTTCAACAACAAATTTTAAGTAAGCAAGGCGGCTTTTGGTACTCCGCTTCGAGAGAACGTTTTTATTTATTTACTTTTTTTTTCATTTTAATTGATGGGTCCTTCTATAAAAGGATTTCATCGAAAATTCGATTTCGTCGGAGGACGACTATCGATTGATACGTTCGTTGTGCTTAACGAAATTATTGATCCTTCGACGTTGCCTAACGAAAGTCCTCAGAAAATTTGACTTTCCTTCCATCCAAACTCGATATTAACTATAATATGCAATCAGCTTCTTTTCTAAGTGTTGCATAACTTTTCTAATATTATTATTGAGAATTGAACGTTCAGTCGGTTGCTGTGATGCAATTACTTAAAAATTAATATTTGATCTTTTCATTGCGAAAATAATAATGATTTCAGTTTCTAAAAGAAAAAAAAAAAAGAAAAAAAATGATTATTCTCGAGATGCTAATTTCATTCTTTACCAATGAATTTCATAATGTGAGTGAAGAAAAAACGAGTATGAAACGAGAAAACATCGAAATGAACGAACGAACGAACGAATAAGTTTCTCTTTTCATGCTTTCATTAACTTCTCCAATTAGCAAGTTCCTCGTCTCTCGCCGAAATACATCTGCGAACTTACCAATCAAACTCTGCTTTGACTTGGTAAGTACAAAACAAAATTTCTATATTTAAAGGCGTACTTACAAACAAGGGATGATTTTTTTCTTTTTTTTTTTTTTTTTGCGAATATAAAGAATAGAAAATCTACATGATAAAGAAAGTAGGAAATCAAAGAGACGGACGCACTACGTTCTTTGCTTTAATTAGACATGATTGCAATCGAGAAACTCACAAAAGAAATGTTTTGTCTATGCATTTAACTGTTAAATATACGATAGTTATATTTCAATCGATGTTAATCTCGAAACCACATAGACAACGATATTATAACGATGATAATTTTTATCAAACCAACAATTGTAATCCATTCTCTGTAAATATGGGTAGGATAGATGATCCAAAGGGTACGATTAACAAATAAAAAAAAAAAGAAAAAAGAAGGAAAATAGAAAAACTCGATAAAGCCAAAACGATAAAGTTCAGGCTTATAAGGGTGATTTAGAATCGTTCGGAAAAATGTCGAGAAAATTCTTTTTTTTTTTTTCTATATATATATATATATATTATATCCATATTTTTTTCATCTATCGGCCATTTGAGGACAAGTGTTTTTCTTTTTTCTTTTTCGTAGACTAGCGCAAGTTTAGTTTTTTAAACCGCTTTAAACGAGGATTACTACGATGTCTGTTTAAACAAAAAAAAAATTAAAATAAACGACGAATCGATTATTTTAACAAAAATTTCAATAATTAAAACGACGACGATCGAAGTCCCCCGTTATCTTTTTTATTTTTTTTTTTTTTTGTCCTAACTCGAAAATCGAATTTTTGTTTTAACAAAAAATATATTAACCATAAAGTCCGATGTCTATCGTGTCGAAAGAAATAAATGTTAAACGACAGCTGGTCGATTAAATTCTACGATGAAGAAACTTGTAGATTATTATCGTATTAGAGAGAGAGAGAGAGAGAGAGAAGCAGAACCTTGTAAAAAGTTATCTACGAATAGATTTCAAACTGAAAAGATTAAACTCAGCTACATAAGTGTTAGTTTGAGTCATTAAATGATACACCCGTTTCAAGACGGTCTAATGAAATAACTTTTAAACAATCTCATTGGTTTTTTGGTCTTTTTTTTTTTTTCTTTAGCATCAATTTAAACTAGCGACAAACTTAACTATTGCTTAAGACGATAAACGAACAAATTAAAAACAGGATATTACTTATTCCTCTGACAGACATCAAAGGTATCCATTTTATTATTTAAAAACTTTTCTGTGAAACTCTTAATATATTGATCATTTTAAATAATATATTAATTAAATAAATTTGTACCACGTTCTTTTGGTTATCGATGGAAGTTTTTAAACGAATTTCTGAAATTCTTCCTCAAGAGATTTATCCGTAATATTAGAAAAATAATAAAGTATTTTTTTTATTTTTCTTCTTCTTTTTTTCCTTTTTTTTTTTTTTTTTTTTTTGAAAACCTTAACAACTTTCGGGAAAAAGTTAAACCGCGTGGTTAAGGAAAATATTTTGTCGAATCTACTTTCTGTTATTATTATAAAAAATAATGAAAAACCTAGTGGTGGACTTAACTTGGAGGAAAAGAGGGAGGCGTCTGCGCATTGACTAAGAAGGAAAACTATCCTCTGGTGGTGGTGATGGTGGTGGAGGATTCGTCGAGTTTGACCGAATGACGACAGTGTGCGAACCGCCAGCACGCGACGCGGTTGCTTTCGTACAAATGAACATTTGCTTGTTTTCAGCAATGCTTCGATTAATAATTCTTACATCATAAAAGAAAATTATTCGACGAGAACGATAAGACTTAAAGAAAAAAAATTCAAATAATAATAATAATAATAATAATAATAATAATAATAATAATAGTAATAGTAATAATTAAAAACTTTATATATATCATATTTTTTTTTGGTCATTACGCGAATAACGAGAAAATCCTTGAAAAGTATGTAAAATATATCAATTTTGTAAGAACATTTGAGTGAACATAGGAAGAAACATTTGTTGTCACTATTGTTATTATTTCTACAAAACAACGACAAAATATATATGATGTCGGATGAAAATAAACGTCTGTGAAATTGTGTGTGACATTCGTGTGCGGTTGAACACGACGACGAAGATTGCAAAATCATTTTATAACGTAATTTCGCGCGTAAAAATTGCGCGTTCAATATTGAAATTTGAAAATTCAACGCGTCATCTATACTCGTGCGGAATACATACATCCAATTGAAATTGCTCCGAGGGAAAATTTAAAAAAAAGGAGAATAACTACTAAAAAGAAATAAAAAATAGAAAAGAGAAAAAAAAAAAAGAAAAAGAGAAAATGCTGAAAATGAAGCGGAAATGTAATATTAATATAGGAAGGATACGGTACGTCGATTTGTACAATCATATACGTTTTATTTGTTGAAAATTATTAAATAAAAGCAAGCTCGCGTTACGTATACGTAAATATTTATACATCATCGTATTAACACCGTAATTCGACTAAAACGATTACAATACACAATTATAATACGCTTAATTGCAAATTTTTTAATAAATTCATCCATATTATCATAAAGATTATTAATTTAAAAATTATCAATTTAAATTATTAATTTAAATAAAATATAAGATATATACAATATATAAATAGAAAAGAGTACTTCTTACCAGCTAAGAATTTTCCCAAAGGTCTCTGACAAATTGAAAAACAATTTGGAATACTTCGAAATAAGGATTCGGTGGCTACTGAAAAACTTTGCTATCGAGTTTTCCACGAGTTCTCCGAAAGAATTTTCCGTGAGACTTCTTGGGGTTAGGGGGAGGGGGGGGAAGGGGCTTTGGAAAGAAAAAAATATGATCTCCAGCAACGTATTCCCTCGTCTACGTATAATAATTTAATACTCTACCAATACTAACAATTTGGTCAATAGTAATATCGCCTAAAGTACTTGACGAATTTGATAAAAAAAACTTGCGAAAAATTTTCTGTACTTTTATTTTTATCACACACACGCACGCACATATATATATATAAACAAAATAAAACTAGTTGAAAGCTTTGGATTTCATCGCAATTGTTGGAAAATGATGGAATGTGTCCATTATTACAAGTATCTTTTACATATAAGACAACTAGGGTGTACTCTCGAAAGTTTAGTCATTTTTATTTATGGTACGTCAACTCGTTGAACAATCTCGTGAGACTTTTTCTTGAGATAAAAGTTCACGAAGAAAAAAAAAATTATTCACTCTGTTCTCTCTCTCTCTCTCTCTCCGTCTCTCGAACAAACGAGTAAGGACAACTTCAAAATCTCGTATTATATGTGCTTTACGTTATAATGAAGCTTCAAGTTTTTTCTAATTATTTTAATAGCAATTATTTCAATGTAACTATAAACTAACACAAAGATTTCATATTATCACATAGATATATAGGAGAGATTTATTTTCATTGTCCTCTGTCGTATTACATTATTACGAACGCTTATATCCAACGTTGTAAAACAAAATTTTTTCGAATAATAATTTCAATGATTATTCTTTATCTTGTAATCTTCTAATCCGTGAAAATCTATTTAAAAATGTCATTTGTAACGTTTCCCACAAAATGTCGGATTATTTTTATCGCGTCTCTCTCTTTGTTTTATATAAAAATAGTTAATATTTGTTGTACGACTTGTGCGAATGATCGTTTTCAACGTGAACAACAACATTACCGGATAAAAATAATGGATGAATAGATTTTCATATTACGTTTCTGCTCCTCCCCTTCCTCCCACTCTTCTTTCATTGCATGGTATATCATAAATGCAACGTTTAAAATTCATATTGAAGGTGAACACACGTTTTTATCGCATAGAAAATGGAACATTTTCCTTATTACTTTACAATCCAATTGGCAACACCACCTACCCCCTGTAATGTAATTTTCTTATTGCATATATTATAACAATTTGGAAGTGTTATAACTATGGATGAGAAAAGTTAACGATAATCACATAAAGCCTGTCACGTTATGATATATTAAATCACACATTAAGGGTAACATACCCGTTTCACGCGTTATACGTTGAACAAGTTTCTACATATCCATAATTAATTGCTGGAAACCGCACGAGTACGCTAACGCACTACCATCCTCTTCAACATAATTTCATAACTATTTCGTAGTATAGGACACCTATACGTTTAAATTAACGTACGTCTAATGAAATAGAAATGTCCATTAAACAAAAAAGAACAAAATAAATAAATAAATAAATAAAGAAAATAAAGAAAAGAAAAGAAAAGAAAAGAAATATAAAGAAAAAAAGTTTGTTTAATGGAGTGTAATTTTCAAAAATATAATCTTGGCATTAACGAAACTCATTAAAAATTACGAAGATTTTATATCAACCAGGTGAGATGTTTTTCTTTCCCGGATAATAAAAAATTCTTTCTCCATGCTTTCTTTTTCGCATCTTCCTTTTTTTCTTTTACCCCGCTTTTATCCTATCATTCTATTTTACCGTCCTCCTTTTCTCACTCTGTCTCGCACCCCATTCTGCTTTCTTATTTTTTCTTTTCTTTTCTTTTTTTATTATTATTATTATTATTATTATTATTATTATTATTCTCTATCCTTTCTCGCATAGTTTCCCCTTTTCAAGATAGGAAAGAGCAATCGTCGTAAAAAAAAAAAAAAAATGCGGCTCATTTTTTCCCCGAGTATCCGGGAACGGTGTGATATATTAATCATCAAATAAAATCAACGATAACGTAACAAGCCACTTACGGATTCGATTGTTCTGTCATTTTTAATAATACTTTTACGTTTAAAATATTCCTTTTTTTTTTGTCACTAACTAAGACAAATGTTCGCGTTATTTCAAAAATCGTGAAAATATTATATTGACGAGAGGTTCGTATCGAACAGATTATATAAAAATTTGAAATTAAAAGAAATCTTTAATCGATTTCATTTAATAATAAACTATGATCCATATACCTATATATATACGTTGACTGTGTAAATATACATTCGTCATAGAATGTAACAAAGTCTGATAGAATTCACGTATATTCTATAGCATATTTAAATCGAGAAGCCTATACACATAAATATTCAGATAATATTAACATATTCATAAGCCACGTACCATCGGGTTCGATTATCCACAAAATGTCAGTTTAAATCCCTCAGTATAAACGTACAACCCTCGCGCCTTGTCTTTATAAATTGTCAAAAATATTTTTTCAATACGTTACCGATACAATATGGCGGTATTTTTTTATGTTATCCAAAACTTCATGGGGGAATGTCAAATATTGGAATTCATTGAAACGACACGAACTACTACTTGCTTTTCGATACGTTCGTATATTCGATAAGAAAACAATGACGGAGAATTGTTGTTGACAAAAAAATCGATAATATTATCGAGGCCTATTTTTACGGTCAGAATTTAAATTTAAAGTCAAGCAGATTCGTATAGATTACATTTATCCATTGTTTTCATATTTCTGAATACTTTTGTTCATTTAATCTTTCTCCCTCTCTTACATTTTTGGGATACACATACCATACAAAGGAGGTTATATTGTGAGGTAGGTCAGGCGGTCGAGAGGTCTGCCCTAATATGAGACTTCGAACCTTCCAGTTCTCTGTCAACTAAGTACCTATCAGAAGTGTCACGTACGTCCTAGTCCATTCCATACTAGTTTCAAGGACATTGTAATAAAACTATGACAGCATCTATAAATCGAACCGATCGATTAAAAATGTTTTACCTTTCTTAAATATAATCAATCAATACAAATTTTCTTTTAAAAATAGATCACACAAAGAATTTATATAATAGATTTGAATTAATAATCAAAATTCATCGTGCTTGATCAACAAGGAATATTTGCATTCAGTACCAAACACAACAATTTGATAATTGTCTCATTTGGCAGAACATTAATATACGGTGGACTGTAAACGGGTAACTAGTACTAGACAATGTCCTTTGATATTGCATATATCTATGCATTGTAGAAGGCGTGAATACGGATCTGTATGTCTAGCTCTCGAATCGACAGAATGCGGATCAAAGGTATTGTCCAAATCCCGCAACTAGGGTGTCACGTTACGAGCCCTTTCAAAACTCTCTATAGGAAGAAGTTCGTCATTGAGAAGTGGATCGAGGATGCTGGAACAGTTCCCTTTTCGAAATCGATAATATTCTTTGCTTCTTTTTTCCTCTCGTTTTATCTATCTCCTTTCCACTCTCATTTTCCTATCTTTTTTTCTGCAAATGTAATATTGTCTATGCGAATAATATGCCTAGGTCGAATTATATTATGTTCTAGTGAATTTTCATGCAAATATAGTTTTTTTTTTTTTTTTTTTTTTTTTTTTTTTTNTCCTTTCCACTCTCATTTTCCTATCTTTTTTTCTGCAAATGTAATATTGTCTATGCGAATAATATGCCTAGGTCGAATTATATTATGTTCTAGTGTATTTTCATTCTAATATAGTTTTTTTTTTTTTTTTTTTTTTTTTTCATTTTTTTCGAAAATATTTTCTCTCAACCATCCACGTCTATATGAGTTTCATTTTTAATTTACAATCTTTTTGTGTTTTGTTTTTTTGTTTTTAGGATAATATTACATCCATATATAGTTAAAAAATATACATATATATATATATATATACTGATACGTTTACGTTTTTATATACGCGAATTTCATTTCTTTGTTGCTTGAAACTTCGTATTATCACAAAATAACGTAATGTAAATTTATATATGTAACATCGTGCATTAAATTCATTGCTCGACGAAGCTATCACATTTATCAAACATATATAACTACGTTATAAAACACAATATCAGAAGAAAAGAGTAACCGAGATCTCTTATTGTTAATAAAAGTTAACATCTTTTCAACTTAAAACTTTTATCGATAAATAACGTTCATTTGAAATAACAAACCGAACAACGATACTTTAAGAACTCTTCGTTTCTTTTCTTTGCCCCTACCCCTTTCACCCTTTTTTCTTCTCGAAAACAATTGTAAAATGTTCAGAGATCATATTTTAAAATAATATTTTTTTGTTTCCGATTCTCGATATTTAATTGATCGTGTTTCATCAATATAAATCGAGCTGATAATAATGAATTAGTATAAAAAAAGAAAAAAAAAACAAAATATACGTTGTTCAACTTAGGATAAAATTAATATAATAGAACACATAATCAAATAAAAATGAATTGAATTTGTGTGGGCGCGGTTTAAATAAACCGTGTCTCTAATGAGATTATCAAAGTTATATTTAATCGAGCGATCAGAGTAGTTTAAGTTAATGGTTTAGCAAGAACAGTTGTTGCACACAATTCAAAGAGAAAGTAATATATATCCATTGGTGTGGTTTCTGTTTGCAGACGATGAAAATCCAAGGGGCAAACCCGAGTCGTCGAAAACACGACGACGACTGATTATGAAGTTTAGTCGAACGAGCCGTCATTTCTCTCGTCACCTCCTGTCGTATTCTCCCTTTGAGGCCCTTCATCTTCGTCACCTTCTGACCTTCCTATTAATCGGACTAACCTTTCTTCGTAGTGTTTTACCGTGCAATTGCGAAAAATCTAAACGATACGAAACAGACGAAATTTTAATAAACGAGGATCAAATATTATATCCAAGAAACGACGAATCTAATGAAAAAGAACAACAAAACGTGTCTATCGTCGAAGAGTTATCAAATAAATTGGAAGTTCATGATTCGATAGATGAATTGACCCAATCCGATGATATTTTCATAAATGATTTTTTAATAAAGGAAAACGATCCGAGTACGAGAAGACGGAAAAGACGAAAGAAAAATCGTACAATCGTAGATACGTCACGAAGGGAAGATACTTTTGTGATAAATGACACGGATTCTTTAACGATTATTTGTGATAATACGACCATATGTGACACGAGAAAAGAAAACGATAATAATTCGACTGTTAATGGTACATCAGTAAAATGGATTACACAAAATGTTAGTAAAGTTTTGGAGGAAGATGCACCGTTTCTTGGTTTTGAAGGTTCCCAGAAGTTTCCCGTTAAAGTGACACATAAACCACCATTGGTAGTTCCGCAACAGGAGAAATTTGATCGGCGTCATTTTGGTCCACCGAAAATTGACGTTCAAGAACCGACGGAGTTAGCAACGTCGATGGAACCACCTGATCTACCGAAAAGTCCAAGCAGAGATGTTCCGTTAAGACGTAAACCGGAAGAAATCGAAAGTTCGACTATGAAAGAAGAAGAGAAGAAAGAAGAGGAAAAAGAAGAGGAAGAGGAAGAGGAAGAGGAAGAGGAAGATGAAGAAAAGGAAAACATCTTTCAAATGTCTGAAATTTCATCAACGACAATAGACGATACTTCGAATGTGGATATCTTTTCTACGATCAAATCCACGACATTCCCTATCTTGACGTCAACAAGTGCGATCGAAAAGGATCCCCCTTCTTCTTCTTCTTCTTCTTCTTCTTCTTCTTCTTCTCCTTCTCATCCTTCTCTTCGTGAGAACGTTGAACGTGTCGTAGATATCGAAGAAACGGTGACGAGGATAAAAGAAGAAGAGGATACTGTCACGGATACGAGTGTCTTCGAGAAAATAAATGTTACGATCTTGGGACTGTTCGAGATGACACGAGGACAAGAACCAAGATCAGCAGGACCTACCGAATTCCAGGCTGCTAAATTGGCCGTTGATCGGATCAACGAGATGAACATTCTGAAAAAATTTCATCTACGTCTGATTCACAACGACACTAAGGTAGGAACGCTAGAAAAATTGTTCCTATTTCTTTCTCCCCTTTCTTTTTTCTTTTAGATATTAATAGGAAATTATCGTGTTTTAAATTTTAAACAAAATTTATCAATATTAAATCAATACTTTTGTCGCGTTATAAAATTCAAAATATTCGTTAATTCCAGCTAGAAATTATTTTCTTTACGACAGAACATTGATTTCTTTAATTCATATCTATTTCTACCAACGCTATAATATTTTACCTATTCTTTGCTAACAATGCATTGACCGATCATGAAATAGATCTGCACAATGGTCTCACACAGAATGATTCATAATACGATGCACGCTCATTCATTCTTATACAATGAACGCTCAACATTGCTATGAGTTTCTAGTAGACGCTTCGACGAAACGAAAACCACAGGTATCCTTTCCTTTCACTTCATTTATATAAGTAGATTTATGCATGTACAGATTATATACATTTGTACGTCAAAAATTGTATAAAAAAAAATATAATAATTGAAACAAGTAGCGTAATGTACAAGACTATTGAATATCGTACAAAGTAAACATCTGATTTTGATTTTCTTTCTATTTATCGGAATCATAGTTACATGACTTGAAATTTCATACGCGCTTTATTCCATAAACAATTACCCATTAACAAATAGTTTGCTCGGAGCCATTCCATATTATTTATCACATATCTCACTTCCGTCTCGTTTTACTTTATGTGACAACGAAAAAAGAAAAACAAAACTTCAATCGATAATTCGATAAATTTTTCAATATCGATTGGATTCTGGACGAAAATAACGTGAAATAAAATAAATGAAATCAATCAAACGCGTTGATTAAAGTTCGATACTTTTAGTAACACACGTCGTGATTAAAAAAAAAAAAAAAAGAAATAATCTTAGATTTATATTATGTCAATTTCAAAGAGTAAAATATACTCGGTATGCCATCAAAAAGGCAGCACACGTAATCGATAAAAGTCAACTTTCATTTCGCGACGCGATAAACATTTCACATACGACGATTTTCCAAATCTGACAAAGTACAAACGTCAATTTTATTTTTCGGTCCGATCGGAACTTGTTGCACCCTCGTTGAATCGTTCGGACAAAAACGTTCTCGTCAAACGTCCCTCGAAAGTTCGTTCTATTTTTCTCTACCGAATTTTTTTTTCTCCTTTACCTTTTTTCCTGGGTCTCTCCGTCCTGAACAAACGAATGTCTTTTAAATTGCAATTGTTATTAAATTGTAAAGTAATCGAAATGGGTTCCGGCCTGGCAACATCAGTTTTTTACGATTATTGACGAACGAGTTAACTTGACTTAACCTTTTTCAATTTTTGACTCGTTAAAAAAGATTTTAACTCCCACATCCCATCCACCCTTTCAAATTTTCCTTTGGTTCTATCAACACCATCATTTCCAGACATTATCGTTGTAACCATATTCATGATTTTGCATAATAATAACAGATTCGTTTCAGTTTACGCTTTTATGCATTACAAATACGTTCGTGCGTGATAATAACATATTATAATTTTAAAGTCCTTATATATAATATATTGAAATTGGTGTCATTTTGAAGCTAATCGAGCAATATAATATAATATTCATAAAATTGTAATAGATAAATTTTATAAGTAAAATTTGGATTTCATTGAATTCAGTCGATTAATCATAATTATAATTAATGACGAACATATATAATGTTTAATTTTTATATAGAAAAAAAAGTATGATAAAATATAAAACTAACACTAATGATACCGTTAAAGATCCACGACAACTATCGTAGATTATCTAATGAAACGACGTGTGCTCGTTCTGTACATTAATTATCGCATAATTAATCTCTTACTCATCCATTTAATGAATTCAAATGTTTCTTTTTTGCGAATAATAAACTATCACGAGGATTAGAAAAATGTTCTCTTTGAGATGAACTTTCAATGGAAAGAGTAACACGAAAGCACTCTATAACTAGCAATATTTTTATTATATTAAATAATTTACAAAAAAGAAAATAATATTTCTAGTTAAATTTTGTAAAAATTTGTATATGTGCATATTTGACATTATGAAGGAAAATGTTTAACGACATAGAACTTACACGGGAGCGTAAACGAGCTTTATTAGTAAAACGACTTCCATCAAAATCAGGATGGTAAGCGCGGGATCAAAGGAATTTTCCTCATCCCTTAAGTTACCTCGACATTTAACGTCACAAATTGATAATAAGAGTCAATTTGGATGCTTAGAGAAATTCAATTAAATCTTTCTCTCTCTTTATATATGTCTCTCTCTCTCTCTCTCTCTCTCTCTCTCTCTCTCTCTCTCTCTCTCTCTCTCTCTTTATCTTTATCTTGTCGAAATTTACCGAATAAAATTCTTCCCTAAAATAGTAAAATTTCAATTTGTAAAAATTACAAACAAATTCATCTTCCTCGAATAAAATAAACGATAGGTGAAAAAAAAATGTAAAGTACGTATGATAATTTCCTGAGTTCGATGCAATTGTGCACTGTTGACCCTTAGTTCTGTCGAAAACCTCATTAAACGGGTAATCGAAGCACCACGTGGCTTTTATACGCGTTTGCCCGGAGCAAGTATGTATATATATATATATACATATACATGTGAACCGTTTACATCAGTTGTGTTACAAACCATGCCGCAAGCTATTCTGTAATTTAACCAATCCTCCGCCGAACGAAACTCCATAAAAGCTTTGCCTTATACGATTGAGAAAGTATCTCGAAAAGTATCTCGAGTGTGACTAAATTGGAATTCGAGTTATGTCTTTCGATAGTCGTAGAAAAGGTGCAGCCTTGCGTATAACACGAACCTTCCTTTTACCTCCTGTCCTTTCAATTCCCTTTATTCTATACTTTTATCAATTCTTTTATATTACCTTACGTAAATAAATTATATTCAAATGTGTTTGTTTTACTTTTTATTATTATTTTTTTTTTTTTTTTTAGTAAGTTTATCATAGATAATATTTTTTATTTTATGACATTTTATTGCTCGTATGAATTATATACGATTAATTTTGTTCCATTCTATCTTTCTCTATACATATCGTATATAGTTTAATTTAAATATAATAAAATAAAAAATATTGTGTACGCGTGCAAAATTTATTATTCTAGCTAGCGAGGAAAAAGATAGAAACTTTTGAAACGACTAAACGAATATATTTTTTAATGAATAAAAATATAATTAAGAAAGGTTTTTTAATTAAATGCTTTCTTTCTTTGAAAAATTTGATTACAAATTCACGAAAATTCGATGAAATAATCTTTAATAAGAAAACAAGGATTAGAAAGAGGAGGAAGAGGAAATTTTGTTCCACGAGCGTTGAGATTGAAATGGGTTACTGTTTCGAAAAGTGAATTATCGTGGAAAGCACAGCGTGTTCGGTATTATTCGATTAAACTGGAATAGAGTAAAAAGGTGGAAAAAGTAAAAACGTGGGTATAACACAACACCTATAGAGATATATATATATATATACGTCCTGAAATATATTTTATTTAAATACGCTGATTTATTTTTGATTTTATTTTTAATTAATATTGATTTCCAGTAAAAGGGATACAAAGGATCATCCGATCCAGATGTTTCGCTTGTCCGCAAGACGATTTTAAAAAGTTAACGACGAACGAGAATCGTGCATTTATCAGACGCATCTACATATTTTAATTAAATGAAAGCGCTCGCACGTGGGAGCGCGATTCCGTTCGAGAAAACGAACCCAAACTAATTTGCACTTCTTCGTTCAAGGACCAAAATCAATTTAGATATTAGTTTGACAATTAATCGGACGTAATTGGTCTTGACAATTCAACATTTTCTCTCGGAAAACAAAAAAAAAATGACTTACGAGAAACGTAAATTTTCAAAAATTAATAATAAAGAAAAAAGAATCGATCGTAATTATCGATGAAGAAAATCAAACGTGAGTTATGACCAACTTCGAAAACTTTTTTTCTTCGAATTCGGCGGCCCTTTTACAAGCTCGCTATATATATAGCAAACAACTTTCTCATGAAAGTGTGTAAAAAAGCGCGTGATCGATGACACGGTTTTTCTTGACATACAAAACGCTTTTCCACTTGCTCGTAGCAGTAGAGTCTTGATGTTTTGCGCATATTTACATAACGCTGAAGCGCGTATTCTTTTTTAAAACACGCGAGAGATCAAAAGCTGAATTGTACTTTCTATTTAATGTATACATACATTTCTTCTTACACTTCTCTCTGTGTAATATTTTCTTTCCGTATTTTTTTTCTTTTTATACTTTTTTATCTTTTAGTTTTAGTTTTAGTTTTAATTTTGAACAAATCGCCAAAGAGAAATGCATCCACCGTAGAAAATATTTCTATAGTATCACGTTACACGTATCTTTATCGATGCTTCAATAAGTTCAACTGATGTATTAACATTTAATTAACTAGCTACCACGCAAGTTCACCTACGTAGATAATTCGTGACGTGCTCAGGAAATAATGAATCCTTTGTATGCTTACTAATTAGACGAAAAGTCATAATAATGAAGAAACGACGATGAGGAATGTGGGTGATTTATAAATTATTCAAATGTTATCACAGTTGGTCGTATAAATCGTGTTTTATCTGTATAACCTTTTAGGAGAATTATTGCCGAGTTAAAGATTAAAAATGAAAAAAAGAAAAAAAGAAAAGGGTCAACTTTCGGTGGTAACATTTAACCGCGGACAGATAGAATTTTGATTAATTGCTAACTGTCCCAACGTGATTTCTTTACTTGACACGATTCATTTTGAATCATCTCTCTTCTTTTCTCTTTCTATCTCTCACTTACTCTTGTTATACCTAACGTAAACCCTTAAAATCCTTAAGCTTCCCCACGTAGCGGAGATCACATCGTGTTCTTCTCGGAAACGGCATACGGCGGGCCAGATTTACGGGATAATCGAACTTTCATCCTACTCGAATTCGTGCACTTATGTTACCTAT